ATTTACTCCCCAATTAGTAACTTACAACATTCTTATTCATGGGCTGTGCAAGTCAGGTCGAGGAAAAACTGCAAAAGAGTTTCTCAATGAATTGGTAGAAGCAGGTCATATCCCAAATGCCATCACTTATACGACAGTAATGAAGTGCTGCTTCAGATGTAGACAATTTGAAGAAGGCCTTAAAATCTTTGCAGAGATGAGGAGGAAAGGATATACATATGATGCCTTTGCTTACTGTACAGTTGCTAGTATGTTACTTAAAACCGGGAGGATGAATGAGGCCAATGAGTACCTGGGCTATATCATTACAAATGGCTTTGACCTTGATACGGTGTCTTTTAACAACATTATTAATCTATATTGTAAGGAAGGTCAGCTGGATAATGCTTATAAGTTGCTGTACGAGGCGGAAAAAAAAGGCTTGGAATCTGACAAGTACACCCATACTATCTTAATTGATGGCTTGTGCAGGACTGGTAATTTCAAAGAGGCCCAGCAACATTTGGACTGTATGAGTATGATGGGTTTTGATTCTAACTTAGTTGCTTTGAATTCTTTTATTAATGGGCTGTGTAAAGCTGGTCACCTTGATCATGCTTTGCAGATGTTTGAATCAATGGATGCCAAAGATTCCTTTACTTACTCCACTATAGTGCATGGTCTTTGCAAAGCTGGGAGGTTTCGTGCAGCATCTAAGCTATTACTATCGTGTGTTAGAGGTGGCATGAGAATTCTTAAATCAAATAAACGTGTTGTTATTACTGGCCTTCGTTCTTCTGGGTTTTCGCATGAAGCAAGGAAGGTCCAGTCTAAAATTCGATTGGCTAAGATACTGCATTATTAATTAGGAATGGTGCTCAACGCTGCCACTCAAATGTTAACCTTATTAATTGCCTACGGTTTTGCACTATAACGCTTTATGGAGGCTGAAAAACCTCGAGCGTTAATGCAACTGAGAATACAACCTACAGTAACCAGTTTCAAGTCAAGTATTCGATCCTCTTGTAAGAGGCAAACACAATGACACTTCTGTCAGGAGGTTGTTAATTATATACTTTCCCTCACCCTAAGGATACTGATGACATGCTGTTGAAATTGTGAAGAGTTATTCTGTGGAAGTAAAAGCATGCTTTATCACAGATGCTAAACAACTAGGCGGGTCGGACTGTAAGTCATTTGTACTTCTAAATAATCTCTTTTCACTTATTTTGGTGTATTGTTTAGTATTGTATTCCAAAGTTAGATAGTAGAGTACAATCAGTTCAAGGAGTGACTCTTTTCTGCAGCATGACATTCTGGGCTCTGAATCCGAAATCATTAAGCAGTTGTGATTGGCTGAAGATAAATCAAAGGTGAGGATTGTATTCCTCACCTTGAGCCAATCAGTTCAAGGAGTGACTCTTTTCTGCAGCATGACATTCTGGGCTCTGAATCCGAAATCA